GGTCCTCCCCTGGCCCTCCGCCCCTTATCCCGGGAGGCTCGGAGCCGAGGTGGGAGCCCCACCTGGCGGGTTCCCCAGGCCCCACCCGGCCTGAGCCCCGCTCTAACTCTGCCAGACCCAGAGCCCACGGGCTTGAGGTGCCTCCCTGTGTCCAACCGAGGAAAAAGCTATGCAGGAACTCGGTCCTGCCCAGCGTCCGTTGGTAAACCCCCCCGGGAAATCCACTGCCGTAGCTTTTGTTCTGGAACCATGATAACGCAGCTATTATTCGGTCATCTCAGGTATTACACATTGAAGTTGTGTAATGGTTGGATCCCACGGGTTGTGCTTGCTACAGGTATTGCCAGGGAGAGGCCTGTGGTTGGTTTAAAAGCCAGAAGTTAATCTTTGGCCTGTTTAGATAATGAATGTTGAGCTGTAGAACTAACATTGTTTTAAAACTTGAGGTGCTTCAAAATCCCTGGAGAGCTTAAGATTGCTAGGCCCTATCCCTACAGTGTGGATGGGCCTAAGAATTTGCATTCTTAGCAAGATACCTGGCTGCCTATTTTTCAGCGACTACGCTGTGAGAACGGCTGAATTAAGCATATGAAAATCTGTTATGATTATAGTGAAAGTTGGAGAAATAGACACTCCTTAGGAGGATGAAGGAGCTCTAGACCTACATAGGTGTTTGGCACTGGTAGATTTAAATAAGCCGTGAGTATAATTGAATGGAGAAGATGATAAAGGAGTAAAATGTTTTAGGTCAACAATAATGTTGGAAGGCGATTTGAAAGTGGTCAGTAGAGTTTAAAGCAAATACTATAGTTTGGGTACTGAGAGGTACTTTGAAATAGTGGAAGTTTTATTTTAGGAGTATGTTTCGTGTATTTCGTCACTTAATCAATCACTTGAATATTCTAAGACTAATAGGAGCTTCGTGTGGTGGTCCACACTTGTAATCCCAGATTTCAGGAGTCTGAAGCGGAAGGGTCATGGCAGTGCTGCAAGAGCCGAGAGGACTTTTTATTCCCCATTCTGTCCCATGCCACCTCCATTGTCAGCTACGATTCCCTCATCTGTGAAATAAGGAGGTGCTTAGACTTCTACGAGTCCAAAATTCTGAAGCATCTCAATGTTTCCCTGAGTAGACATCAATTATAAAAACTCTTGTAGCTGAGCCCCCTAGTGGTTATAAGGGGAGTCAACTATAACAACTAAACACTACAAAGAATTTTTGCCATGGTAGAAATCTAGAAGTGCTGTAGGTATTTGTGCCCATACGACTTAAAACATATTTTACGTTTAGCGTTGGTTGCCCATGCCTTTTATCCCAGCACTTGGGATTAAGAGGCAGGTGGGTCTCTGTGAGTTTGAGATCAGCCTGGTCTACATGCAGAGTGAGTTCCAGGATAGGCTCCAAAGCCACAGAGAAACCCTGTCTCAAAAAATCAAAGGGGGGAAAAAACTATATTTATCACACTCTGCCTAACCTCAAGAAACTTAACAATAATCAAACGGGGAACTAGTTATAAAGGTTTGATAAGTTATTTGAAAGAAAGTGACTTTCTGTGCCAAAGTTTGAAGCCAGGCCTTGTGCATGCCAACTATGTGCACTATGAATGGTGTGAAGCCCAGCCAGGTTGTGGTGTGTGTTTATGTTTAGGCAGGTTCTCATTATACAACCCAGGCTGACCACAAACTGAATTTTTTCTGCCTCAGTCTCCCTAATGCTCAGACTACAGACAGACACCACCACACCAGGCTCAGGTTTGTGAATTTTTTTAATGCCAGTAATCGTTTAACTGCAAATCCCCCTTTTGGAATTCATTCTATTAACATTCTAGAGACCCCAAAGGATGTGACTAGTGATACCTTAATAACTTCATGGGTAGGTGTTATAGTAGTGTTAGTTTCTCAGTTTTGGCAAAGCACTTTAGTAATTTACAATGTTCACATTAACCAAAGGTGAGTCAAGAACATACAGAAATCTCTACCATCTTAGCAGCTTATCTGTAAATCAGTAATTCTAAACTGGGCATGGCACCTTACTCCTGTAACCCCAACTACTTGGGAAGCTAGGGCCAGGGAGCCTATAACTCTGGTCAAGAGAATGGAATCTCTCTGGTCTGGGTGTAGACCCGACATTCCAGCTGGACTAGTTCAGTCTCTTTAGCTAAAGGACCACCTTCTGCCATGCTACACAGATAGGCAGTGTGATTAGTTCATTAATGAGATGTTGTACTTTTCCTTCCCAGAGTCTCATCACCCCTAATGCCCAGGAGTAGCCCAGGAGCTGAGTTTTGTAAGATTGTAGAGCTGTCTGCTCTTCCCAATTACTCAAAAAAAGTTAAATTTTACTTTTCTTCTGTCTGCTAAACATACTTTTCCCTAATACTTGGGCTCTTTCCCCCCCTCCAAATATTTTGGGCTCCCTTATTTCTATAAAGCTACCCATTGTATGGCTGCTTATTTTTCATGTGCCTGACATCCATGTCACCATAAATGCCCCCCCCCCTCATTTCAGCTAGCTGCTGAAATTTAGACCTGGCTTGGGGTTTTTATTTTCCTTTTGTTTTTGTCCTTGAGAAAAGGTCTCACTGTGGCTTTGGCAGGCCTGGATATTGGTGGTAGACCAGGCTGTCCTCAGAAAAGATCCACCTGCCTCTGCCTCCTGAGTGCTGGGATTAAAGACATGCCTTTTTTTTTTTAATATCCTTCTTTCCAGTTGAGTCCATCCTTAAGTTCTTTTATTAATGAGACTAAAAGACCCTAAAGGTGATTCCAGTAATATCAAGACCTTCATTCAAGCCAGAGAGATGACTCAGAGGTTAAGAGCACTGGCTGTTCTTCCAGAGGTTCTGAGTTCAGTCCCCAGCAACCACATGGTGGCTCACAACCATCTATCATGAGATCTGATGTCCTCTTCTAGTGTGCAAGCAAACATGCAGACAGAACACTGTATACATAATAAATAAATAAATCTTAGGGGAAAAACCCCTTCACTTAAGAAGCTTTTTTAATTGTTACAAAAGAATCCAAGCAGTGGTGATGAATGCCTTTAATCCCAAGCACTTAAGGAAGCAGAGACATAAGAATCTCTGAGATCTAGGCTAGCCTGGTTGGTCTACAGAGTTCCCAAACAGCCAAGGGTACACTAACCCTGGGGAAAATAATTAGTACAAAATTAGTTGGGAGGTGTGTTGGTAGTGTTAGAAATAAATTTGGGGTTTTAAAAAAGGAGCCCACCATCACAAGTGAAGCATCTGGAAAAGGAAACTTTTGACCAATAAGGTGTGCTCAGAAACATGAACACACAGAGACAGGAAGTGCATTTGGTGTTTATTCTGACTCAGGTTGTGACTGCCTTTTCCTCTTTGGCTGGCTTGGTCCCACCTCCCAGTCTTAATATACTTGGTATAAAAGGAATTGGTCTATAGGAAGTGAAGGAAAGAGGTCACACTCTAGGCCATCAAATTCCTGGAATACTTCAAGCCTTGGACCTTAGTGTAAACAAAGGAGGGATTAAAACATTTATTTAAAAGTCTTCAGAGGGCAGGGTATTGGTGGCACACCCCTTTAATCCCAGCACTCTGGAGGCAGAGGCAGGTGGATCTCTGTAAGTTGGAGGCCGGTCTGGTCTTCAGAGTGAGTGCCAGGATAGTCTCCAAAGCTACCCAGAGAAACCCTGTCTTGAAAAACCAAAAAAAAAAAAAAAAAAAAAAAAAAGTCTTACAAGGTAGGAGAGGGGATAAAATCACTTTAACTCCTTGTTGTAAACACAAGGTTTATAGTATTTGATAGAAAAAGAAAGACTCATATTTGATATTCCTGCTACAATAAGCAACTACCCACTGACCCACTGAACTATCTCACCAATCCCTAGATCTGCCCCTAGTAAACTACTTTCTTTAGGACCACCTTAAAAAATGTCTATCAGCCAGGCAGTGGTGGTACACCTCTTTAATCCCAACACTCAGGAGGCAGAGGCAGGCAGATCTCTGTGAGTTCCAGGCCAACCAGCCTGATCTACAGAGGTAGCTCCAAGACAACCAGAGCTGTTACACAGAGAAACCCTGTCTGGAAAAAAAAAAAGTATCAACTCCTCAATAATGCCTTGAAATTATGAATCCATCATTGAATCAATATATTGATTAGGTAAGAGTCCTCATGATCCAACTGCCACCAATGATTGGATCCACTAATTGGGGACCAAGTCTTCTAAACATGAATGTTTTCAGAAAGATACTTCATGTCCAAGCTATACCAAACACTAAGCAATGCAATTCATATTATATCACTGTTTATATGACAGGAAAGATTACATTTGCATATGTAGTGTTTCATTAATCTTTAAGTAGTACTGGAAAAATATGTAAGCAACTGAACAATGGTAGCCATCCTTGAGAAACAAACTTAAGTATTTGGAGAAAGAAAAGTAGGTTAGAGCCTACCTGTGAGTGCTGAGCTTGACAATTGAGTTCTATCCCCAGAACACACTGGTAGGGACGAACTGACTTTTCTTATTTGTCTCTGACTTAACACACATGCACACATAACACAGCAAATGAATAAAAAAGTAAGTGATGAGCCAGGTGATGATGGCTCTGACTTTAATCCCAGCACTCGGGAGGCAGAGGCAGGTGGATCTCTGTGAGTTGGAGGCCAGCCTGGTCTACACAGTGAGTGCCAGGACAGATTCCAAAGCAATACAGAGAAACCCTATCTCGAAAAACCAAAAAACAACAAAAAATAAATAAGTCAATGCTTACCATATATCGTGTTGTATTAGTGTGTTCTTTCGTATTTGAGGCAGGGTCATAAAAGCTGACCTCCAAC